TTTCCTCCCTCTTTTCCTGGGACCTGCATTGGATCCTGTAAGCTTGGCAAGAACCTGAGTGAATAAGAAGATAACAAGTGGCTACCTTCAGGATCAGGAGAGTCAGGAATTTCTTTAGGCAATATAAATATTGGGTTGGCCAAAAAGTTCATTCGGTTTTCCCTAAGATGTCTCTAGTAGCGCTTAGTTGTCTTTAACTTCATTCGAAACAATTTTGTTAGATTGTATTGTGACAGCTGTCAGCGTGTATTTGTATTTAAAGAAAAACTTATCAAAACTGGTGAATTTTTGTGTAGCCATTTTAATATTGAAGATGGAAGAAAAAAGCAACATTTTTGGCATATTATGCTTTATTATTTCAAGAAAGGTAAAAACGCAACTGAAACACACGAAAAAGACTTGTGCAGTGTATGGAGAAGGTGTTGTGACTGATCGAGCATGTCAAAAGTGGTTTGCGAAGTTTCGTGCTGGAGATTTCTCACTGGATGATGCTCCACAGTCGGGTAGACCAGTTGAAGTTGATAGCAGTCAAATTGAGACATTAATTGAGAACAATCAACGTTACACCACGCAGGAGATAGCCGACATACTCAAAATATCCAAATCAAGTGTTGAAAATCATTTGCACCAGCTTGGTTATGTCCATCGCTTTGATGTTTGGGTTCCACATAAGTTAAGCGAAAAAACCTTCTTGACCATATTTCCACATGCAAGTCTCTACTTAAACATAATAAAAACGTTCTGTTTTTAAAACAAATTGTCACAGGTGATGAAAAGTGGATACTGTACAATAATGTGGAACGGAAGAGATCGTGGGGCAAGCGAAATGAACCACCACCAACCACACCAAAGGCCGGTCTTCATCCAAAGGAGGTGATGTTGTGTATATGGTGGGATTGGAAGGGAGTCTTCTAGTATGAGCTCCTTCCGGAAAACCAAATGATTAATTCCAACAAGTACTGCTCCCAGTTAGACCAACTGAAAGAGGCATTCGATGAAAAGCATCCAGTATTAGTCAATAGAAAATGCATAATCTTCCATCAGGATAACACAAGACTGCATGTTTCTTTGATGACCAGGCAAAAACTGTTACAGCTTGGCTGGGAAGTTCTGATTCATCCTCATATTCACCAGACATTACACCTTTGGATTTCCATTTATTCCTTCACAAAATTTTCTTAAGGGAAAAAGTTTCAATTCCCTGGAAGACTGTAAAAGGCACCTGGAACAGTTCTTTGCTCAAAAAGATAAAAAATTTTGGGAAGATGGAATTATGAAGTTGCCTGGAAAATGGCAGAAGGTAGTGGAACAAAACGGTGAATACGTTGTTCAATAAAGTTCTTGGTGAAAATGAAAAATGTGTCTTTTATTTTTACTTAAAGACCGAAGGAAATATTTGGCCAACTCAATAATTAGTCTATGCATATGTCAGTTTTTGGAGTGTAGTTCCACTGGCTGCACTTCCTTATGGATACAGTGACCGCTAGATGGAAGATATTAATGAAAGATGGGGCACATCCAGACTGAATACTTAACAGCAAAAACCATAAGATGGTTACTGAAAAGGAGTCATGGATTCTGGAAAAAAAAGTCAAGGCCATATAAGAATGGAAGTATCAAGAATGGGCCTTAGAGAATGAACATGAAGAGAAATCACGGATGTGTGAACCAGGCATGGAAGTGGGAATTCCTCTATGAGAAAAAGTGTATGGCCTTTCTAATTGAGGGGGCTTTAAAATACTCATGAAGGGAAGTAGTGACAGCAAAGGCTGAAAATTTGGAGTTGAAAATATAAAAAATCTGAGCGTGTTATGGGCTGAATTTTGTCCCTCCAAATTCATATGTTGAAAGCCTAGCACGCGGTACCTCAGAACATGACTGTATTTGGAGACAGGGCCTTTAAGGAGGTGGTTAGGTTACAATGAGGTCATTAGAGTGGGCCCTAATCCAAACTGACTGGTGTCCTTATAAGAAGGGACAATTAGGACACAAAGAGAAAGATACCGGACATGTGCCCAGAGGAAAGACCATGTGAGGACACAGCAAGAAGGTGACCATCTGCAAGTCAAGGGGCCTGAGAAGAAACCAGACCTGCCGACGCCTTGATTTTGAACTTGTAGCCTCCCGAACTGTGAGAAAAATTTCTGTTGTCTAAGCCACCCAGTCTGTGGTATTTTGTTATGGCATCTCTAGCAAATTAATACAGAGCAGAAGGGTTACATTACCAAAATGAAATATTTAAGAGGCTGTTTTTAGCTGAGAGAATGAGGAAGTTTGAGAGTATGGGAACGGGGCCTTTGTTTATCCTGTCAGCTCCTGAGGTCGGGGTTGCCCAATTGCCTCTGACTCCCCAAGCCTGGCACAGAACACGTCCTCAATAATTATGAGTAGAATGAATGATGGAATGAAAAGGAAGAGGGAGATTCAAGAGAGGTTCTGTAAAAAATAATCTAGTGTAGTAGTTCTCAGGCTTTCTTGTGTCAGGACTCACCACACTCTTAAAAACTTTATAAGGAAACCCAAAGACCTTTGTGAATTTTATCTGTCAATATTTATTATGTTAAGATTTAAAATGTTTATTTGATTTTTAAAATAACATGATCAACCTATCAGATGTCATCATAAGTAATATAATTTTATGGAAAATAACTATATAATTTTAAACTCTCTTTAATGACTGGCTTAATAGAAGACAGATTTTTATATCTGCTTCCACATTCAAAATCTTGAGATATAATGTTTTGTTTCAAGCATATGAAGAAAGTTTGGCTTCATACAGATATGCTATTAGAAAAGGAAAGAGTATTTCAATAGCCTTTTCAGGTGATTGTGGACATCTTTCTTTGATTTTACACCAATACTTGACAGGCAGTACCTTCTTTAGGGTTGGTCGTAAAGTAGAATCTGACGCCTTATTGCTAACTTTGAATGGATCTTTTACCCATGTGTGATTTGGTAACAACTTTGTTATATTGGTCCACTGAGATGTATAGTTCTTCCAAATGTTGAAACGTTTCAGTATACAATATCAAACAAACAGAAAAGAACATTCATTGATACCATCACCAATCTCATCAGAAACATCTCTAAATATTGGGAAGCTGCAAATTCATGAAGTTTCCTAGATGCTAATTTTCACTTGCAGGCTAATATTTTATCATTGCAAACAAATTCTGTCAGTTATTTTCTTTGAAGTGACAGGCTGAATTTTTTTATTCTTGAGAAAATGCCTGAACGTGTCATAGTTTTGTCTGTTACTTCTTTCAAAAAAAAGTGGTGTTCCCTGAAAAACAAAACAAAACAAAACCCATAACTAGAACAGTTCACAACTCAAAAGTCACCCAAGTGCTTTTCTTAGAGATAATCATTCTACTGTGGGGCACAGCTGAAGGGCTTTTCCTGCACTTCTCATTTATTCACACAAATTATTAAAAAGACACGTACTTAAGGGTGAGAGTTAGTAAATATTTTTTACTGCTCCATCAAGGATATTCTTAAGTAAAATACTTTTTTTTTTGAGTGTGTGGCGGATAGACACAGTGGCTGCTAGCACAGCTTGATGTCACTGCCTTGATCCATAGCAGGCACCAGAAGATTTATGCGCTTCTGTTTTTGCACCATCGGATTTTTTTTTTCATAGCAAATAAAGCCTTGATAATTATGAAAAAATTGTTGGCCTCAGAGATACCCCGAAAGTGTCTCAGAACCCCCATGGGTCTGAACACCACACTTTGAGAACTGATAGTCTAAAGTATTTGTCAGGATTTGAGGGACAAAAGGTCAAGGCTTTCTTGGAAGTTTTGAACTCAGGTGCCAGGCACATGGCAGGCTGTGAATTAATGTCTGTTGAATGGACTGAAGAGTTCACAGTTCTATAAATATTTGTGTAGCGAGTGAATGTGGTGATGTGGGGAAGAACATAATCTAGAGTGAAGAAGACACACTTTTTGGAATCAGCAAAATCTGCTTTCAACATCTGGCTTTGCCATTTAGCAGCTGTGAATCTGATTCTACTGAGCCTCAGTTTCATCAGTAAAATGTGGATAATGATATATAGATTTATGGCAAAAAACTAAATTGGACTAAATGAAATTGAATGAATAGAATCTTTAATAGGATTTTTGGTACATAGAAGTGAAGAAAACATGCAGACTTACAAAGTCAGTTTGTGATATACTGAGGGGAACATCTCAGGCAACATAGGTGGAAATGTAGATTTAAATTAAGACACGTAAGTGTAGCCTTCAGATATGTTTGGGAGCTATGCATTCATCCAACTACTATTTGTTGAGAGTCTACCATTCCAACAGAGGAGACTATGGATGGTAAAAAATCGACTGATAATTGAGGGAATGACAATCCAGATGATTAGAAAATAAGGACAGCATCAACCAGAGGTCAGGCACAATTGTTCAGTGGATACACTAGTTTCCAGGTATGAGGCTCTTTTGAGCGCGGGTCTAGAAAGGACCCTGGATATTTGGAAATATCTTGGATAACCAGTAACTCTGGACGAAGAAAACTGAAAATCCAGAAAGTAATCCGTTTCGAGGGAAAGAAATTAGATAATTCATTTATAGCCTGGCTAAACAGGGTACTCCAGCGCCTTCTTAGCGCAGTGGGCAGCGCGTCAGTCTCATAATCTGAAGGTCCTGAGTTCGAGCCTCAGAGAAGGCAGCTTTCTTTTCTTCGGCGTGTTCGCTTTCTTTGTTTTTGCGCTTATTTACCTCTGGGACGTAGTTTCTTCTGCTGTGAAGTATCAAGAAGTGAGATTGTATGAGATTGTATCAGAGCCAGAGTCTTCCTACAATAACCGTTCGGGTCCCCAGCAGACATGCGCTCGCCGCTCCGCGCAACTGCTGTTTCCCGAGGGGTTCTGGAGACGCTGTGCCTCGAGGGCGGTGACGCTTGGGACTCCAGACTAGCCCTGAAAAACCACGCGGGGCATAAAACTTCTAGTGCCGAAATAACCATGTGCTCAAAATAGCCAATAGCGCAGAAATTGCACTTCACTAACTTCGCTGGCTGGTGCCTGCAGGGTCTACGCCCGAGGTCTTCGGCTGTGCATCTCCTTGCCCTCTTGGTCGGTAACAGCAACTTCCCAGATGACTACAGCTCAATACAGATATAGAAAACATTGACTTTTTTTGGGGGGGCGGTGTCTTAAAAATTTTTTTTATGAGCCCGTAGAAGACAGGGAAATATTGGACATTGAAATATTGGAAGTGTAGTAAATCGGATATTTCTGATTTTTTTCCTCGTATGGTTCCACACATGACAGGGCTGGCGATGTCTTAACTGACACTCCAACTTTGTAGCCGGTGGAGGAAAACAGTGGAAGAGAGATGGGGGATCTCGGAGCAGGCAGAGAGGTGCTCTGCCTGCAGAGAGATGCAGAGAGAGATGCTCAAAGAGGAAGAAGGTGCTCTTTGAGGAAGAAGGTGCTCAAAGAGGAAGAAGGTCTGTGCGAGGCTGGGCTGGTCATTTTCCATCACAGCAATGCGCGGTGCTGTATGTCGGGTGGGTCCTCAACCCCGTGTTATAGAAGCCGAGAGAAGTTAATTTTAATGGTGAAAAGTTAATTAAATGGCCAATAACGGGGACCTAGAGAAGCTAGATTTCGAGAGGACTTGCGCGTCTAAGGTCTCCTAGTAGATGCCGGTTGGGGAGGGGATGGCAAAGAGCCAGAGAGTCGGGCAAAGGAAGGTTCTGACGCCCAGTGGAATTTATAGAAAATGAATTCACGCAGGAAGAGGGGGAAGAAAGAGAGTGTTGGGAAGTCTGTCCTTAACGCGATGCTTACCCATCTGCCTAGGACCCCATGATTACCGTCCCTGCCTCTGTATTTCAACTGTAACGCCGGTCCTGAGCAATAACTTTAGAAACCCTTCAAAATCATTAAAGGAAACAAAGAGGCCATTCTCATGTGCTACACACAAAACCTGGATAGTTTTTCCTCTTTTGTTTTAGAGGTTCCTGGAGATAGACATAGATATGCAAAAACTTCACAGCAGAAAATACCGAGAAGCAATTCCGTCAGGATATTTATTTTTAATACAGTCTGACATGTCTAGATTGTCAGAATTATTAAAAAATAAACATACTGGGGGTGGTGGTGGGATGAATTGGGAGATTGGGACTGACATATACACACTAATATGTATAAAATGGATAACTAATAAAAAATAAATATACTGTCTATAAGAAACTCACGTAATATAGTTACTAATAAGTTTGCATACAGATTTACTACTTAATAATTTATTAATTGCTTGTTCCTTTTTTTTTTTTTTTTGCGGTACGCGGGCCTCTCTCTGTTGCGGAACACAGGCTCCAGACGCGCAGGCTCAGCGGCCATAGCTCACGGGCCCAGCGGCTCCGCGGCATGTGCGATCTTCCCGGACCGGGGCACGAACCCGTGTTTGCTGCATCGATAGGCGGACTCTCAACCACTGCGCCACCAGCGAAGCCACCGCCCCTTTCTTTTTCATATTTTTTTGTTCCTCTTCCTTCCTACCTTCATTTGACTTATTTAAACATTGTTAGTAGGTGGTCTAGTGATTACCCTATACATCCTTAACATCTCACAGCATACTTGGAATCAATAAATTACCATTCAAACTGAGTATAGAAACCTATACCACCATTATGTACCTTTGCCATAAGCCCTTTATGATATGTATATAGTACATGTAGATATAATGAAACTCTATGAGACAATGTTGTAATTTTCACTTTCAATCATCAAACATACTTTAAAGAACTCAAGAGAATAACAGTCTGTCATTTTTACCCAGATCTTTCCTAGCTTTGCTATTGTTCAATCATGCTGTTCCAAGTGTCCTTCTGGTATCATTTTTCTTGTCTCACACTCTACTTTTTTCTAGCACTTCTGCTGGCAATGGATTATCTCAGTTTACCTTCAAATCAAAATGTATTTTTCACCTCTTTGTCTGAACAATATTTTTGCTATATCAGCATTCTGGTCTATTCTTTCAACATTTAAAAAAGTCATGTCATTTCTTTATGGCCTCTGTGGTTCTGATGAGAGCAGATCGAAGTTTCCCTTTAGTTTTCCTCAGGTTGCTTTCAAGAAGTTTTTATTTTTTTCCTTTGGTTTTCAGCAGTTTAATAGTAATATGTCTGGGTGTGGCTTTATAGGAGTATATCCTGCTTCAAGTTTACTGAACGTTTTGAATCTGGTTTAAGTCTTTTGCCAAATTTGGAAAGTTTTCAAATTTGGAAATTCAAAATAAATTTCCCCCTTTTTCAAGGTCCTCTTTCTCCTCTTGTTTTGTGCCTCCAATGATGTGAATATAAGATCTTTGTTATTTTCCAGTTTGTCCCTGAAGCACCAGCCATCTTTTAAAATAACTTTTCACTCTGTCATTTAGACTGGATAGTTACTATCTTCACTATCTACTATCTTCTATCTACTATCTATCTACTATCTTCACATTCACTGACTTTTTCTCAGTCACTGTCTGCTATTAGGACAATCCATTGAGGCATTGTTGTTTATAATTTTGGTTAATACATTTTCAGTTCTGAAGTTTCAATTTGGACTTATATGTCCCATTTTTTTGCTAAGACTTTCTAACATTCAATTCATTTCAGTTCTCACCCCTAATTCTCAGAGCACTGAATAATCACTACTTCAAAGTATTTATTAGAAGATTTCAACATCTGTGTCATCTCAGTATTGATATCTGTTGATTCTCTTTTCCAAGTCAGTTAACCAATTTTCCTGGTTCTTCATTTGCTGAATAATGTTGGATTATAAACTGGCCATTTTTGCATCAGACTTGGTGTCTTGTTCAAATTTTATGGAGAATATTGCTACTTTTGTTTTTGCAGTCAATTGACTGCCTTGTGTTAAAGTTCCAAGTACCGACCAGTCTTCTGTGTGTTGTGGTTTCATAGTCCAATCCATTTCCAAAGACTTTCTGATACTATTTGGAGATCTCTGGAGTGTGTGCAATCCAGTGACCAGTGTGGACTTGGGCAGTGCGCTATCACTTCAGTTCTCAAAGTTTTTGTTGTTTAGGACCTGAGTCACTTGTACATAGATCATGGGTTCATCCAGAAGTTCACTAATAACTTCACGTGTTTGCTTTCCACAGTGTCTTTCTCGATATTTTCTGGTTACTTGGGGCACTCGGTTTCAGTCCCTGATGAGAAAGCTGTGGCCTTATTGAACCCCGCTCTGTCCTGAACTGTGCCGCCTTGTGGCCAAGTTGCAGGAAGAAACAGGAATAAAAAGACGAATTGGGCATATCCCTTTAGATGACCAGCTATTCTGAAGAAACAGAAAACAAATTATAGGTTGAAAGTATCTGTACATACCGAAAGCCAGTAGAGCCAGCGCTGCCCTGCCTTGTCCTTGCCCAAAGAAGTGTCCAAAGTGTCTAATTTTCTCATTTCTTACTACAGGCTGGAAGATTGGCGCTCCTCGGTAGAACGAGTAAAACTTAGAGAATGTGGATATCGATCCCCCTACCTCTCGCATCCCAAGCGAGCGCTCTACCACTTGGGCTAACTCCCCTACACCAAACTCACTCTCTCTTTTTTCCCCCCGCCCCCCTTCCTCCTTCAGCTTTTCAGAGTACTTCATTATTCGCTCTTTTGGGAGGCCCAAGCTTCAGGAAATGTCAAGGCCATTAATGCGAAACCAGAATTTAGACTAAGGGCACATCTTCTCAAAGATGCCCCAAAGCAAGAGCGCGGTTGGTACCTATTCCTCCGCTAAGAAAAGAAAGTAGCCATGGGAAAAGTTTGATACCCCAAAAGTTCACGTTTCAGATTTTCTGGGACAGAAGAGAACACGTCTCACTTGGGAGGAGTCACCCAGAACAGTTGGCTAATGCGACAAGACTACCTCAGGATGATTATCTGTGTCTTGAAAAGGAAACCGAAACAACAAACCAAAAGAAGTTGGATGATCACTTGTTCCTTTTAGGGCAGGTGGTACACTGATTTTTCCCAGATGGTGGAAGGCAAAAGAATCAGCTGTTGTTTCCGCCCGGTTTCGAACCGAGGACCTCTCGCGTGTTGGGCGAGCGTGATAACCGCTACACTACGGAAACTCACATTGGGGTTTCTTCCCGGCATATTTATTCAATTCTTGCTGAGGTGGGTTATGAAAGGTTTCACATCTACACCGTGTGAGAGAATAACCAAAAACTACAAACTATTACAAGCAGGACCCATCGGAAATAAGAAGCGAGATCATATCAGAGAGAAGAAATAAAATATGGACATTGAGGGGTGAAGATGAAGAGTGAACAGGGTGGAAGGAACAGGCATGGAGGTAGGAATTCCTGTGTTCAGCAATTACCTGTTTAGTTGGAGTGGAGTGGAGTGTGTGCGTGCGTGTGTGTGTGTAAAATAGACATGGAGGGAAACAGTGATTGAAAAGCCTGGACACATGAAGATACATTGGGGAGAAAATTATGGAGGCTTAAGAACCTTTGAAAAAAAATCCAGGCACATGGCTTTAAAATCAAAACATTTTATGAAACGTTTTTATTTTGAATGCCAAATAGGTAGGAAATGGAGAAACTAGAATTAGAGAGAGAGAAAAAGAAGTTATAAGATATTAAAGAATCGAGGTTTATTCTTTTAGCTCCTGGGATTAGCAGTAGCATGAGTCTTTCTGCATCTCCAGCCCAGTACACTGTCTGGTACAGAATACATTTTCCATAAACATAGAATGGATAAAGGCATAGATGCATGAGAAGAAAGAGAAAGATTCTGGAGAGTTTGTCCAGGAAGGATCTACAGTATTTGAGTATATGTCAAGACACTAGATGTAGAGATTTTGAGGGAGAAGAAAGTGTCAAAGCTATGTATAGAATACTTGAACCTGGGAGGTAGACACAAGTGATTTTGAATTAATATCTGATGCATGGAAGATTAAATCCACTCATTTATAAGTATTTGTTTTAATAATGAATTAATGAATGAATTGGTTTGGATAAAAAGTGATAAGACTATGCACAGGGCTAAAGGAAAAGCTTACATTTTAATATAGGAAAAAAAAATCAGTTTTCCACTTCCGGTTTTGCTCCATACATCCATTCAAACTGAGAAAAAAATCGTTCAACTACTCTGAACTTCAGTTTTATCAGTAAAGTGGGAATAATGATATTTGGATGAACTGCAAAGCCTAAATGAAACAACTTGCATAAAATTAATAAACATTTAGTACAATTTTTAGCATATGGTGCTGAAAAAGGATTATTTTTTCATTCTTTCGTAGCCTGTATTCCAAGTCCCCAGTGGTGGTCATCCTTCTCTCAAAGGCTCAGAGAGGCAGCAAATGGAAAGAGGTAATCCCCTCGTAACCACTGTGGTGCTTTCTCCAGCCTGAAGATGCCTCCTTTCCTTGAGCCCTTAAGGGGAAGAAACAGCACGGTCTGATCTTCAGGAAGCAATCTCTAGACAAGCTAACCTTCAGAAATCCATCTCTGGGTGTCATTTTGGTAACATGTGTATAAGAAGTAAAACAGAACATCACTTCTCTTTCACATTTTAAAAGAAAATCAACTGGGCAAAGTTGGAATCCTACAACCCATAATCATATATGTCACCATACTGTCACTGGTTCCCCAAAGAATAAAGTGGTTTCAAGATATTTTACTATCCTGAAAAGGCTACTACACTGTCTACACTGTCAGCATTCCAGATGTGACCACTGTCTCCGCTTTCTCCTTCCAGCTTCCAAGCTCACAGAATGTCAAAGAACACCTTATCATTATGTAACTTCTCACTTAATAACTGGAAATTTAAAGTCCACTTTGTCTGATATTAATATATCCACTTCGGCTCTTTTTGATTAATGCTTGTGTGGTGTCTCTTTTCCCATTCTTTACTATCAATCTCCTGTGTAACTTTAATCTTGTTTATAACATTTAATCTCATATATTAACACCTTTGAAAAGAGTTTCTTAAGGTCAGCATATTTATTTTTAGTATATTCTGACAATCTCTGATTTTTATGGGTGTGTCTAGATAATGTATATTTAATGTTATTATTGATAAATTTGCATATAGATTTACTATTTAATAGTTTATTAATGATTTGTTCCCTTATTTTTTATTCTTTGTTTCTTTTCCTACCTTCTTTCAGCTTATTTAAACAGTGTCTGTAGCTGCTCTAGTGATTACTCTATACATCCTTAATATTTCACAGTATATTTAGAATCAATAAATTACTATTCAAGTTGAATATAGAAAACTCACTTCCATTCAGTCCCTTTACCATAATCATTTTATGTCATGTATATAGTACATGTAGATACAATGAAAACTCCATGGGACAATGCTGTACTTTCACTTTCAAACATTAAACATACTTCAAAGAACTCAAGAGAAACATAATAGTCTATCCTATTCACCCAGATATTTCCTTCTCTACTGTTGTTCTGATGAGAATGGAGTCATCATAGTTCAGGCATATAAAAATGGAGACGTCTGCCATTGAGAATCTGGTCTCAGACACCTCCTTACATCAGTGAGAACTTAAATTTTCTTTGAACTTTGCCAAACCCAAGGATGCCATTTGCCCTGTTGAGAACAACATAACCAGCTGCAACTTTATGGTCTCAAGGTTCCCCCTTGTAACTATGTAACCATTGCAGACCCCAACCAAACCTTGCTTAGCCAGTTCTCAAAGTCTATGGTATGTTGTTTAGGATCAGAGCCATTTAGTCACAACTCACAGGTGCATCCAGAAGTTCACTAATAACTTCATGTGTTTGCTTTCCTGATATTTTCTGGTTACTTGAGGTTCCTGGTTTCAATCAGTGACAGGAAAGCTGGGGTCTTATTGACCCTGCTCTGCCCTGCACTTCTCAGGACTCTGCCGCCTTGCTGCCAAGTAGCTGGAAGAAACAGGAATAAAAAGAGGAATTGGGCATATCCCTTGAGATGACCAGCTATTCTGAAGAAACAGAAAATAAATTATAGGTTGATAGTAGAGGTACATAAAAAAGGCCAGTAGAACCAGTGCTGTCCTGTCTTGTCCTTGCCTAGAGAAGGATCCAAAGTGTCTGATTTTCTCATTTCTTTCTACAGGTTGGAAGATTTGCAGTTGTCAGCTGGAGCTCCGTGGTTGAAAGAGTAAAAGTTGGAGAATGTGGGTATCGATCCCACTACCTCTCACATGCTAAGCGAGCGCTCTACCACTTGAGTTAATCCCCCACTTGTCTCTCTGATTCCTTTCCTCAAATATTTTAGAGTAATATCTCCACTTCATTATTCACTCTTCTGGGTGACCCAAACTTCAGAAAATTTCAAGGTCCTTATTGTGAAACCAGGACTGGACTCAGGGCACAGCTACTCAAAGATGCCCTGAGGCAAAAGCGTGATTGGTACCTATTCCTCTGCTAAGGAAGGGAGGAGAGAGTGGCCGTGGGAAAAAGAAGAAGAGACAGAGGGAACATTTTTGGACTTCACTGTTGAAGAGAAACTGGAAATTAAGAACCTGTGTAGAAGAAAATACATGCAAAAGGAAATAGGGTTTTAATTCTGTTCCAGTTTTCACCCAACTTTAAACTATTATCAGTTGTGACGGTTTTATAACGGGAGTCCTAAACATCTGTGTTCCCTTATATCTTTATTTGTTATTCACTAATTACAGTAGAAGTAGAAGATTCTGTCTGGGAAAATTTTAAATTATACAGTATAAATAAGTTGTCATTCATCAATAAAATTCAAAACATCGAATAAGGCCTAAAGAAAGAGTAAAATAAATCGACAGATGCAGAGATTAACATTTTGGAAGTTAATGAAATCATTTATTAAATTATTAACTGTTCAATATTTGATCTACCTATTTCTTAGCCTTACCTAATATTTTCATTTCAAGACAGAAGCCGTATTTATGCCTTAACTTCGGGCACTGAGGACACAGTGAGGGCAAAACAGTGATTTGAGCCTAAAGATCCTTATATTCTAGAGGAGAAACAGGAAATTTAAGAAGAAAAACTTCATAAGACACTTTCTGAACCAGAGAGTGTTTGTGAGGAAGGTGGCATAAATTGATGTGATAGACTGAAATCACGATAAGAGACATTAGCTATGGGGGGGGGGGGTCTCAGTAGCAAAGTAACATTTGATTTAGCGGCTGAATGCCAAGAAGTAGGCACCTTACTAGGTCTGATTCAAAATGAAAAGACGTATTAGTCAGGAGCTGAGAGGTGAAGAAAGGCCCTCTGTGGACAACTGGGAAACTAGCCCAGACAGAGCCCGGTTACCAAATACCCACAGCAGAGCCAAAATGCGAGAAATTTTCCATCTCATTTGAAGACTGTGTGACTCTGGCCTAACCAAATGTTGGGTGTGCTGAAGGAGCACCCATTCACAGAGTTTCCAAGAGCAGCATCCATAGGATTCTCTGTGCCTGAAGACGTTTAAGATCAAGTTGAAGGTGAGGGAAGTCTTTCAGTGAAAAGCAAAGTGCAAGGGCTGTTCACAGCTCAGCATGGCAGAATCATGACCCTCTTTATCTTTCCTTCCTGTCTTTGGACCTCATCTTGTTCTGATCGCTAATATTGATAAATATATTTCCTGCATTACCTGTTGGGATCCCCCCGCCCCCATTTTAAATCATATTTCAGCTGCCTGTGCAAAGAGGAAACATCTATTTTGGATCCTATGTGTGGAAAGTAAATACCGCCTGATTGTTTCATAATTTGAGAGATATTTCTGAAGGTGTTGATTTGAACTGTCATTGCAGGTACTACAACGTTTGGGTTGAGACAGGTGGGTAAGGAACCTCCTTAAGGAAGAACTACCCAAAGATCCTACTCCTATTCTTCTTTATGAGTTTTCTCTAAGAATTCCCCTAATTTCATATTTTCTTGTTTGTTTTGTTTTTGACAATCTGGGTCTTTTTCGTCCCCTTCCAGACCCAGGAAGCTCAGACCTCACACCCACAAATTCTTTTATACATCTTGTCTCTCTAGGTGTCCCTCAACAGCCTTCCCTCTTCCCCCAGGTCAATAGACCCCATAAATGTCAATTACAAATAGTGGAAAGGCCTTCTTTTCACCAGGATCTCTCTGTTTGGAAAAAAGGGGTGGGAGGTCCACCCTCCCACTAGCCCAAAACCATGAATGTTGAGATGGAAAGGCCAGCACTGTCCAGTACAGATCATGTTCACTCCCTCCACAGCAGGTTTTCCTTCCTTGTTGTAGTACAATGACAAAGAGTATTGGTCAAAGACTGAGTCTGTGCTGTCTTCTGTGTGAAATATAAACGTATAAATTGTCATTTTTAAAGGCAATCCAATATTTCCTGGAGTTGGGTTCAGGAGAGAAGCTCTGAGGACTCAGGTGCCTGTGGAGAAGGAATGAAGCAGCAAAACTGGGGAAAATAGATATCTTTCTCACTAGCTCCCAGTGCCAAGAAGGCTTTGTAACATTCAACCTAATTCCCAAGCTCTAACCCTTTTGTTGACCTGGGGTCATTCTAGACATGTGCCCTAACCAGTTGTATGGGTCTAACCTGCTGCCACAAGGTTATTTCATTGCCACCAAAGAGGACCTGAGAGAAAATATGACTTCAGCAAAAGCACAATGAAAAACTACCTCCCCATTCCTTAACTTCCAATAGCTGATCTTCCGGGCCCAAATTTGGAAGAGAACTCTCCCCTGCTTCTTCTGTCAGATGGAAAGGAAGATCAAAAGTGTGACATAACTTGTGTTTTCTGGTATAATCTAAGTGTTTTCACCAATGATTTTACTGAAGTTACTGGGAAGTGCAACAAACTTGAAATCTAATTTCACCCTTTTAAGCAAAGGCTGGCTCATTTTTCAAACGACTGTGGAAAGATAATGACCTGCCTGCCCTCTCTGAGGCTCGAACTCAGGACCTTCAGATTATGAGACTGATGCGAGGGCAGATAGCTCAAGTTTTACTCATTGAGAATAAAAGAGGAGACAGTACTTTCCAACCACCACTATTTTATCAGTTGCTAGCTTTTAATAAATACAATCAATGGTACTTGAAAATCATTCCAATAAGCCAATGCTCCAGATCAGGAATGATGCAGTCTATGCCTTTCTGATATTCACCTACAGATAAAATCATCTGGGTTTCTTGACTGGAGATAATGTGCTGTCTTTTGTTAGTCTTGTGTTCCAGTGATGCGCTTTTTCCTTCCCTCAGAGATCTCAGTCAATCTTACACCTTTCATCATCTTTGTTGAAAGAAACATAGGAGCTGCCCAGTTAATATTATTTCACTGAGTGAATCAATAGTCCTCAAATTTGTCTACAGTCTGTACTTCTCTGTCTTACTCTACATCTCCATTTGTAGCTATATGACTGGAGACATTCTCCCTACAAAAACCACAAACTGAACTTAACAAAAAGCCACCTTGTTGTTTCAACCTTACGTGCTAAATCATACTAAGAGATTTATGGAGATTATTTCATGTAGTCCAGTTGAATTTTGGCAACAAAACTATGTATCATATTTTGCACTTTCCAGATAAAATGGAGGCTCAGAGAAGTTAGGTAGTTTTTCTAAGGTCCCAGAGCTGCTAAACAGCAAAGTATGAATCGAGAAAAATTATTAGATTCCAAACGGTGAGCTCTTTCTCAGCTCCAGCTCATGATCTCTCTGTCTGTTCTTCTCCACAGTAGCCCATTCACCCACACACCACCTGTCTAATTCCCAACCTCTGTGCTGGACTTCTGGGCTTAGACTTCCAAGTCAACTTTGGTTTATTCTCCTCCTTCAGAACCTACATCAAATGACTTGCCAAATACTGAACATTATTCTTGTACAGATTTTTTGAATCCATCACCTCCTTTCCATTCATTCAGTGCATATTCGTTGGGAAGCTGCTCTGTGCCAGGCACTGCAGTAGGCTCAAGCCACTGAGAAGGAATCTGACCACCCATACCTCAGGAGCAGGGAGGATAAATATGGACACGGAATGATCCACTTCTGGTTTCACCACTTTCAGTCTCCCTGGCATTGGTAGCTAAGTAACTCTTTCTGAAATACTAGTTTTCTGCTTCACACTGACCATTTTTGATTTCCTAATTTGGATATGATTTTGCTTTTCTCTCAACTTCTTCTACCCACATTGCAATTTTACTTAATAAGGTGATTTAGATCCAGTGGTGGCTAGTGTTTAGTCCCTTGATGTATTCCCTGATTTGTTATCTACTAGGCCCATCAGTGAAAGAGATAGGATTGTTGACATCTGCAACAATAATCGTGGATTTTTCTATTTTTCTTTTCAGTTTCATTAGCTATTGTTTATGGGTTTTGAAGCTCTGCAGTCAGAGGCATACACATTTAGGATAGTTATTTTGTTAGTGAGCTGACATCTTATAATTGTATACCTTCTCAAGTAATACCTGGCAATTTTCTTTGCTTTCAAATCCACTTTGTCTTATATTAATATATCCACTTTATCTTTTTTGATTAATGCTCGTGTGGGGTCTCTTTTCCCATTCTTTTCTTTTAATCTCCTGTATCTCCTTTACTAGCTTTTAATCTCACATTTAACTATATTTGAAATGGGTTTCTTATAATCAGCATATTTATTTTTAATACACTGACAAACTGTGATTTTTAATTGATATATCTGGATTGCCAGAATATATTAAAAATAAATATGCTGACTATAAGAAACTCATACCATATTATTACTAATAAGTTTGCATTTACTATTTAATAATTTATTAATGGTTTGTTCCCTTTGTTTTTCATATTCCTTTGTTCCTCTTCCTTCCTACCTTCACTTGACTTATTAAAACATTGTTAGTAGGTGGTCTAGTGATTACCATACACATCCTTAATATTTCACAGTATACGTAGAATCAATAAATTACCATTCAAGTTGAGTATAGAAACCTCACCACCATTTAGTCCCTTTACCATAACCCCTTTATGTTATGTATATAATACATATAGATACAATGAAAACTCCACCAGATAATGTAATAATTTTCACTTTCAAGCATCAAATATACTTTAAAGAACTGAAGAGTAACGTAAGTGTCTATTATATTCACCCAGTTATTTGCTTCTTTGTTATGGTTCTGATGGCAAACTGAAATCATAATGGAGTAATCATAGTTCAGGCATATAAAAATAGGGTGGATGGCCACTGAGGATGTGGTCTTAGACCAGTCCCTACATCACTGAGAATTTGAACTTTGAACTGTACCAAACCCAAGGACACCACCAGCCATATTTGGAGCAACTTCCACAAGCTGCAAACTTATAGTCTCAAGGTTCCCACTTGTAACTATGTAACCATTGCAGACCCTAACCAATTCTTGCTTAACAAGCAGTCTTGCTTCTTGCCAGTTCCAATTATAATTATGGACAAACAACTTAGGTAACTAACTGTGTGGCCTTGCAGTTTTTCCCTTTAATAAGCTTCCTTCGTTTTGTAGTCCAGTGGAACACGACTCATGTGCTTCTTGAATCTGTGTCTCCCAGGCTGCAGTCCCAATAAACATCATTTTATTTCAAACAGGTTTCTGTTTCTGAAATTTTGGTTAACTGTTCCTTCATTTATGCTCTTCTATTTCCTTCTGGTATCATTTTTTTCTTGTCTCACGACATTACTCTTTTCTAGCATTTCTGTTAGCAATGAATTCTCTCAGTTTACCTCAAATGAGAATGTGTTTCTTTCACCTTTATGTATTTTTGTTATATTTAGCTACTGGGGTGACAGGTCTTTTCTTTCAGCATTTAATAAAAGTCATGTCATTTCTTTACG